ACTAATAAAAATGGGCCTCATTCCCCTGAACCTGAGGGAGCCCCCAATATGACAGCGTTGGGTAGGACCCCCCAAGGAAGGCTGTCAAAATTTCAGGGCCAAAACAGGCTTCCTAAAAGGAGGATTAAGATGGCGATGTTTTTTCAGCGCACGGACACTCACATCGGAAGCGAGTATACAACAGAAGATCTGATGATACAAGCTAGGAAGATCAAGTACGACATCGCCGGATTGACCGAGAAGAGATGACACCGCCCGTCGCACGCCGTATTCGAGAGTGGAGAGGAGCTATTCCTCGGAACATGCGAGAGCAGAGGTGTCCTCGTTAACATTCACCTTGCCATGAACATCGGTTCGTACGAATGCTTGACAACCCGACATTTACGATTGAGAAGATGTGGCTCAATCGTAGCTTTAACAATCTTCATTGTTTACGCACCAACATCAAGCACGACGAAGAAGAGTTGGAAGCGTTCTATATGGATCTGGAGAGGCTTTACAGAGAAGGCCACTCTTTCTTCAAGGTCATCGTCGATGATTCCAGCGCCAGGATTGGCCCCAGAAGAACGGCTGAACAGCTCTACATCAGGACCCACGGAATGGAATGGAATGAGCAGGGTGAAAAGCTGTCCAAGTTTGCCATTTCGACCCACACCATCCGTGTTAACTCGCAGTTCCAAACGCCCTCTCATTTGAGATGGACATGGGAGTCATCTGGTGGACACCTCCATAATGAAGCAGACTACATTCTCTTCAATCGGAGGTTTCGCCTGACTGACGTCGCTGTTGCTCCGAAGTTCTACACGGGATCAAACCATCGTCTACTCCGCACCTGATTCCGCTTTCAGTGCGTGAGAGTGCTGCGAAGTAAGCCCCAAAACTATTCCCAATTGACCACTGCGCCTCACTGACGAGTGCGTGGTTAGATTCCGTCAGCGACAATATCGAAGAAGAATACGACCGGCTGGAAAGAGCATTCACGAACACCGCCGGAGCTCCTTCAATTATAAGACCGGGATGAATTCCCCTTGTCGTCCTGACGGAACTGTTACATTTCGAAGGGCAATAGAAAGGTCACCTACGACTTCTACTCTGATCTCTCCGACAGTCACGTCTACTCGCCGCGACCTATCATCTTAGGCCAGACGTATACGTCGTCTCATCAGATCTCCCTTCCGAAATTCAACATGCCACCACGTGTCACCATGAGGAATACGGCGCCAGGTCCCGACAGGAACATTTATACAGCAACTTCCACGTTCGGGCTTGTTGAAACCTGGGCATTTTACATAATGTGGCATTACTGCTTTGCCGTACAGGTTTGTTACGGCTGAACCGCTTCATTGGTCAACGTTTAGACTGAATCGTTGTTTTCAGGACCTGAAAATATATATTTCGCTACAGGCTGAACACTGAACTTGATAAACCATCCCTCGTGTGTGCACTCTCCGTCTTTTCCAAACGAACAAATAACGCAGTTATTCGTAGGACATGCACGGTCGTGAAGCCTATTGCGGATTGGTGGACGTTCAATATTGTCTCCCGTGGTTTATCAGGACAACATCATTAGCCAAATCCGCTCGTGCTATGCATTGTCGGATCTCTGCGCTAATTTTGTCTGATATAGCGATTGAATGGAGATCTGTGATTCTTTTCGATCAAGAGCAAAAACAACTCTACGTGCCAAGTACAACACCCTGAGGAGCAGGCAACACAGAAATGGTTCCCCGCAATGGTGCTATCTCTTCTACGACCCACCGAAGATACAACCACTCTCGAAATGAACAATACACAAACTAGGGCGAGAGTTACTGTTATTGATAAGCCACTACTATTAGAAGGCCTTAATTTCCTCAGCCTTGGGCCATCATTTTCAACTGCCCGAGGAACTAGAACTTCCACGTATCGCCAGGTGATAACAGGGCTTCATCAGCTAAGAGATCAGCCCAGAATGAGTGCAGTGCGCAAAGAGCCTCGGCGTACTGGTCCAGAATCTGAGCATTCGTTGTTGAGGCCTATTCCTTTCCCACGTTCGTTCTATAGCGAACCAGAACCTTACAAGACGTTAAATTTTGAGTACTCTCATCAGAAGTTCTTGAAGTTTTCAAAAGACATAAGTGTGAGAGGTTCTCAAACGTTACGAACGCCAGTGGGAAGTGTTGCGAGAGATACGGAGGCGCGTGACAGACTGTGAAATGTGCCTTTCCGTAAGCGACAAGGGAGCAGAGTTCGTGGTCCTAGCGCGTACCCTGGATCGGGAACTCGCGAAGCTCCTGTTTAGCGATATTTCTATTTTCAGTAGCTCTACGGAAAAGGCTTTTCTCGCGCAGTGATGCAAGCTGATGCGTCATGGGCATCTACAGGAAAAATTGCCAAGTTGGTTGAAAGGCTGACCAAAAGATTGAAGTTGGATACTCCTCGTGTCCGGCTTTCTATAGCCTGATCAAAACTCACAAGTTGTGCAGCGGAGATGAAAGCTCAGTTAATGCTAGTGATGACAAAATAAGACCCATCATTAGTTGTGTGAGGGGACCAACGGACCGCATCTCCTGGTTCCTCAATAAAATTATTGGTCAACTCCTCCGATATGTACCTACTCGTAAGCCTAACACCAACCAGTTTCTTGACCGCTTGCGTTCGTGTAGGCTTCAAGAAAACTGCGTGATAGAGTCGTTTGACGCAACCGCGCTTTATTCGAACGTGAACAACAAGGAAGCGCTCCAAACAGTTTCTGAATGCTGGATGAGCATGAAGCAGAAGTGGTGACGTTAGAATAGAGCAATGTTCACATTATGACTCTTATTAAGGAATGTCCGAACTGTAATATTTCCAAGTGGAGCGGGCAATACTTCTTCCAAAACCGCAGACATGCTATCGATCAGTGGCTAGCATCGGTTCTAGCTATCTATTTTATGAGCACAATAGAAAGGCTAGTTATAGCACGTATGCCCAGTTTGTTCTGTCGATACACCGATGACTGCTGCGTAATTAAATCAACACAGCACGAGATGGATAAATTATTTGACATTCTGAACCGGCAGTCACAGTACATCAAGTCACGAGAGAAGTTCCGCATGATGGCTGGCTTCCTTATCAGAACACGCAGATGAAGTTTCCAAGTAGAAGCTATAATGTGAAGTGATGTCGGAGAAAAGCTTAAAGAGCAGCCTACTCGTCTGGAGAGCAGCCAAAGTCTGCCCACCCTGAAGCTGTAAAATGTGCAATTATTCGTAATATGTACAAAACAGCGACAGAACTTTGTGCAGGCGAAGTGGAACGGGAGGAGTCGCGTAAACTAACATCTGAGATTGCAAAAAGAAAGGTTACAGGATACAACACGGAAGACCAGCCTCACAAAGGTTTTTTCCAAGAAATGCTGAGGATATGGTGTAGGCCCGTTTTCCTTTTACATCAAAAGAAATTAGCGCAGAGATCCGATAATGCATAGTACGAGCGGATTTAGCCAATGTTGTCTTGATAAACCGAGAGACAATACCAAACGTCAACTATTCCGCAACAGGCTTTACGACCCTGCATGTCCTACGAATTATTGCATTATTTGTTCGTTTGGAAAAGACGAAGATTGCACACAGCGAGGGATGGTTCAGTGTTGGGCCTGTGGCGAAACATATATTGGGGGGACGGGAAGGATGTCCGGTGTATGCTTCAAAGAACATCTAGCAGGAAAAAAACGTGGAAGTCCACAAACACCACTTGGGAAGCACCGACTAGAAGGACATCAAGGCAATTATTTCGACATTGAATGTAAAATCCTCGCCTGCGAGAACGAAATCGATGCCAGAAAGGTACTGGAAGCGTTGCATATCCGCCGCAAGATCCAAGGCTGAACAACCGAAATCAGTGCTTGGCCAAAATGCAGATCACCTCCATCACAAAATCTGATCCATGGTCTCATGCCTATAAAGCGTCACGCTTACCACTGCTCCAAATCATCTCTATCAGCGTTGTTGCTTCCATGTCTTGAGTGATCGTTTGCGTTAAGCACTCACCTGAGACCACCCTCATACCTTCGTTCGGAGAAGCGTTTAGCAAACTTGGAAAGCAGATTTGAAATGAGCGCCCGCAAGTACATGTAGCAGTATAAGTCTCATTTAAAATGCCCACTTCGACTCGGGATCCTTCATTTGTGAGAAGCTTGATCTACGTGATCAGGCCCTGGAGACCCCTGAAGCAAATTGACCCGAGGCTCATCCTATTCAGGGTGATTGGTGGACCGCACAGGTCTACTATCCTAGAGATTGGTTATCCACTTCTGTTCGTATAGTAATCCACGCCTCCTTTGAAATTTCTCTGCATATTAAAATATTGCTTGACCGAATAGTTTCCTAAATAACTTTTGTTTTTAAGGGCTCCGAGGAAGGCTAAAGCGCCGTAAGATAAGCCAAATAAAGTATTGCTAAAATCTCGGTTTGCACAACTGAAGCAGTAACATTCACAACTGGAAAGAAATATGCCTAGATTAACCATGGCCACGCTCAAAAAAGGTCAATTTTGAGTACTTCACTTCCAATGCGAAAATTTCCAACATGAAATCCTAGCGGAACTCGGGGCGAAGCAGTATTATCGACGTATGAATTGACGGTCCAATAAAATATGTGGGAGGTTTAGTGGTTTCAATGACTTCTATGGTATCGGAGCAAAGACGCAAGTGTAATGTAGCGCAATGAACACACAGAATAATAGTAAACAAAATATTTATCTGAGATGGTACACAACCTATGTCTTACCTTCGCCGTTGTTCGTGGAGAAGTGAGCAACCGCTTTTTGGGTCCCCGCTTGCCCCGTATCAGTATGGGCGTCGTGTACTGTGTATTTTGGATATGGAACATGAAAAAAGTTTCCATGTTCCTTTTGAGTAAGATCGCAGATAGGTGGTTGTGGAAATTTGTTGCAAGCAGTGGCTCAACTATTTACTTCATAAAAGGGATGATGATAAAGTTCAGTTCTGATGTAAAGTCACAGATCGGAAAAAAGTTCACCTCTCCTTTCCACCATCCGTCACTGCTTCTATCAATCACTGTTACAGTCTCGCCGCGCGTCAACTTCAACTCGTCTTCAAGTCGCGGGTTGTATGGAAACTTCACCACTGCTCGTGCGTTGATACCGCCTACCTTAAAAAACAGTTCACAATAATTTTGGGGTACCTGGTTCTAGACGAGCCATGGAAGTGATAGTCCAGAATAGTGCAGAAGGGGCGAAAAAAAGCGGAAATCGGCGTGTTTGGAGGAATATAAGACTTCAAAAAAAAAGAGTAAAATTAGGAGTTGGAGGAGGATGTAGACAGAATTTGCATGGAAGGGGTATTTAGACGAGCTGTTCAAATGTACGCACCTTGCATACAACTGGCTGAGGTAAACAGCTTACATGCAAGTTGTGGGTCCAGATTTTCCTACTCTTCTCATGGGGAACTTCAATTTTCCAAATATTGTGTGGCATCCTGTACCTCATTCTTCTGATTCATTGGCTACTGAGTTCTTGACTATGACTACCAATAAGAACCTTTTACAACTTATCAATTTTCCATCTAGACTACAGCACTTTCTTGACCTTTTATTCTGCAATAAAATGGGGGTTGTCACTCGAGTTGAGGAGTCGCCACCTCTGGGATCCAGTGATCATTCAGTGGTTAGATTATTCCTGAATATTTCTTTTCCTAGTGATTATTGGGTTTACTCACGTGAGTTCAGAAATGCTGATGTAATTCGCCTCAATTCCTATTTGGATTCAGTGGAACGGTTTCGGTCTTTTAATGCTTCGGATTCAGTTAATGACATGTATGGAACCTTTATCTTTATTCTACGTCACTGTTTAGAAATGTTTGTCCCTTGGTACCACTTTATTTGCGACGATTCTACTTGCTAAAATTGCGAGCGAGCGCATGAGAGGGCTTCCACGTCTAATACTTCACAGGACTGCGATTTCTATAAGTTGCCTCTGATAGGTTCGAAAAGAAACTTTTTAGGTTCAACTGCTCAGTTGAAAAAAAGGTAGTGGAGTCTAAGAATAGAGGGGGGCATTGTATAATATATCGATATCAGGGTCAATCCTAAAGAAGGTGTTGGCTTCCTCAAATTCGATGACTCAATCGTGACTTCTGATTTTGATAGAGCAAAGTTAATTGCTGGTTTTGCAAAAGCTTATTTCCGCCTTAAGCCGGTTGTAACTCCGCCTTAGGATAGCACCCTGTTTCCAACTATGGAAGATTCTGTATGGTTTGATCGTTGTGAGATTTTCGAACTACTTTCCAAGTGGCATAGGTGCTCCTCTGTAACACCGGACGGCATTCCATTCCACTTAATTAAAATGATTACTTTCAAAATTTCTTCTCCCTGAGAATATCTCTTTAATTTGATTTTTTGTCGTAGGGAGGTCCCTAATAGATGGAAGCATGCGTTAGTTGTTCCGCTATTGAAAAAACCACCTGGTTATGATCCATGCAATTTCAAATCTATAAGTATAACATCTCTTTTTTGTCGAGTGTTCGAAAAAATGCTGAAGAAGAGAATCGTGCGTCACCTTGAACTCAATCGTGTTTTACCTAGCTGTCAACATGGATTTAGGAAAGGGAATTCTACGGAGACAGTAATGCTCGAATCGTTAAATGATTGGACTGAAGCGCTGGATGCTAAGGAAAGCGTTGTTGTTATATATCTTGAATTTCAGAAGGCTTTCGACCGAGTCTCTCATGAACTCCTGGTCTCAAAGCTTGCTCATGTGGGTATTCATCCTCGGATAAAAAACTTTCTAGAGAACCGCACCTTCCAAGTGATACTCAATGGCAATCTATCCTCAGTCCGAGATGCTCCTTATGGTGTACCCCAGAGAAGTGTTTTATCTCCACTTCTCTTTGCTGTTTATGTGTATGACTTGCCTGCAGTTATTGCTAATGAAGGCATCACCTGTAAAATGTTTGCTGACGACATCAAATTATATTCTAGAATTCAAAATGGTAAAAGTATTTGCGAATGCAATCCGCTTTGCATGCTGTCTCTCAATGGTCTCAAGATTGGTGCCTTTCTCTCTCTCCGGAAAAACTTATGTTCTTCATCTTGGTGACAACAATCGTCGATCTAATTATCGCTTGTCAGGTGTCGTCATTAAGAAGGTTGATTCCGTCAGAGATCTAGGATTCATTGTGGACAGCAGTTCGCAGCTTCTTATTTTGGCATGCAAAACTTATGTTAGACCTATGCTCGAATATGGTACGTGTGTGTTGCCTGTAAGAAAGCCTTGGTGGATCGAATTGAAAGAATTCAAAATAGGCCCACTAGGAAGGTTTTCATTCGTTCACTGGGCTTAACGTACCCTAGCATTCCGCGTAGTACTATAAGGAACTTGATCCTTAAATTAGAGTCTCTTACGCTTCGACGAAGAAAGAATGACCCGTTAACGATATTTAGAATTCTCCATGGCTTGATTGAACGTAAATCTGGTGATTTCTTCAAATTATATAGGTGAACAACGCGGGGCCAGTCACTTAAAATTCTTATTCGTAGGCCATGTTCCTCCATGAGTAGAAACTTCTTCACTTTTGGAGCTGGGTCAGATTTCTCAAAAGTTACCAAAGAATGTACGATGCCGGGTTCGGTTAGTGGTTTCAGAAAACTATTAGACAGAATTCTTTCTCTCGCTAATTAGTTCTGTTATTGTATCAGATATTTGTACTTGTCCTTCTGCATGGATTCAATTGGTTTCCTATCATAATTCTTGTGGATTGTTTATTTATGGATTTCTTTCTTACTATTGATGTTTTTCTGTTTCTCTTTATTACATGTGTTGCCGCATGTAATAAAAATTTTAAATTGAAAATGGTGCGAATGGTGCAACAGTGTGTATGCCGGCCATGCTTCCTCTAGGGTCCTTACTGCGTCCTATTTCTCCGCTTTTCTACCCGACAGTGTTCCTTAGGCTACCCTTGGGGGTCACACGCTCATCCAAGAGTCCAACCTCAGGAACCATTTTTAACCCATTGACGACCATGCGGCCCGCCGGCTGGCCGCGCCACACCGTGCTCCTGTACTATTTATATTATTTATCAAGTGTTATTATGACTTTTTTCATGTTTTCAAGTATCAGCTGAGCTCACAAACTTCTAGAGAATCTTGAAGCATCGTGGTCCAGGAATCATTCACTTCCAACTACAGTTATAAGGGAAAACAAAAGCCCATTCAAGGACAATATTGAAAAGCGCGGTCGCCAATGGGTTACTCATTACCAGAAATCGTTTCGGCGATTTTTTACGAGCTTTGCACTAGGAAATGCTAATGACGACCGTCTTCTCGAAATATCTCATTTTTTACATTTGTTCAACGAACGAAAAATTCACCAAGGTAATGTAGTCCTTTGAAAAAAACACCTTTACAGTTGCGAAATTAGAAGATTTTCTAGGACTACGGCGTATGCAGTTTCACTTAGACCTGAT